TGTTCGCCGGCCCGGCGGCCAACGGGGCCACCCAAACGGCCCCCCGTCCGGGGCCGGCGGGCCAAATGACTCGTCTGGCAGGGCCGGCCAGTCTGGTCAGCTAGGCAGGGTGCCACGTAGGTGCATGTGCCCCTGGAGGAGAACGAGCTTCCAAACGACCAGCGAAGGGGCCCAGAGCATGCCCACTTGCCCGGCTGGGGCCTGGCGCTGGGCGGGTGAAAATACCAGGCACCGGAAGAGTGCGTGCTTCTGTGTGTGCCCCCCCCCCCCTCCTCCTGCAGGCTGGCTGGCTGGCCGGCCGTTTCTCGTTCTGCTGGTCAAGATGGAGAACGAAGCAGCTACAGGAGTGAATTAGTCCCGAGCCCCTGGTTGGGTGAGGATGTCTCTCCAGTTGGCAGAAAAGCCCCACCCAACCGCCGTCTTTCCCCTGGTTGGTCCTCGTCCGGTGGAGCGCCCCCGCCCTCCCTCCCTCCCACTCGCGCCCCTGGTCCGGACCCTCAAATGAAGGCGCCGCCGCTGGGCAGCTCGCTGGCCGAGCCAGCCGCCGGGCCGCCAGGACTCCCAGCTACCTTCCCTTGGCGGGCTTGGCCGCGCGGGGCCCGGCTCTCTTGGTAAGGGGTCGGGTGTGGCGTATTCTCACCAGACGTAGGGGAGCCGCTCCGTGCCCTGCCCTCGTCGGCGCAACCTAGTGCACTTGAGATGTTGTGTTATCATCAGCGGGGCTGCATTCCAGGCGCAGGGGGCCCGGGTGGACATGTGTGTGTGTGTGTGTGTGTGTGTGTGTGTGTGTGTGTGTGTGTGTTGGAGGGAGGGGAGAGACTTTTTCCGGCTGGAATAGCCAACTGCATTGAGCCGGCTTCGCTTGAGTGTGTAAGTGCGTGTGCACATATCCGCGTGAGAAGACCTCGAGAGAAACTGATTGTGCTTGGACAAGGACGCAGGCCCGTGGACCGGGGCAGAGAACAGACAGGGGGAACAAACAAAAAAAAAACAAGGGCCCCCAGTCGGAGTTTTTAGACACAATGGGTCTGCAATCGTCGGCGGCCCGGAAGGGACTGGAAAGCAGCTGGGGGATTGGAGGCCCAAGAGTCCATGTTTTCACATACACAGACACACGCCACACGGGCACGGACATGTATGGGCATTGGTGCACAGAGGGACACGCGGGCGCACGGAGAGGCACATGCAGATGCACGAGCAGACACCCGCCCAGCCACCTGACCACACACGCACACGCACACGCGCACGCACACGCACACGCACACGCGCACGCACACGCGCACGCACACGCACGCACATGCAGGCACGGACACACAGGTAGATATACAGACAGACAGACAGACAGACAGACAGACAGACACATAAACACACACGCACGCACACAAACAAACAGACACACATACGCACATACGCACATACGCACATACACACAAATAGTAGATAGACAGACATACAGACACATGCACGGAGCATCGCGTGCGCCTGGACCATAGAAAGGGGATTGGCATGGGACCCGGTGATGTGCAGGTATCGGCACTGGCTTTTCCCCCGCACCTCGTCCCCGTTTCCCGAACCTCCTCCTCATCGTCTCCCTCCGCCGTCGCCCCCTCCTATCCGGAGACACCGCCTCCCTCGGCGCAAACGAGCCCCACACGGCGTCGTAAGAGCGCACCCATATGCATGGCCGCCGAACGGCCACCAGGCCGAGCTGGCCGCCCCGCGCAACACATGCCCACATGCCGGCCATCCTCGGGCGGTTGCTCCTGCTGCTGATGCTGGCAGTGGGATACAGCGCCAGCCAGCCGGCCATGAAGCTGTCGGCCACTTGGCCGGCATTCCACCTGCTGACCATCCTGAAGGACCCGTCGCAGGAGGCCATCAATCCCAAGACCAACATCCGGTTTTGCGACTTCTTCAATAGCCAATCGTTGCTCCTCCACTCGGCCGATGGATTCGACGACCTGGCCTACCAAAGCAGCTTCTACAATATCGCCACCTCGCCGGAGGCCCGGTCCGGCAGGCAGGCCTCCCGGCCGCGGGAGTTCCTCATCGGCCCGCATGGCAAGCATGCACACACCTGCTACTCCTATCCCTTTGCCCGACGCCCATTGGTGCCCTTTTCCAGGGACATGTACTTCCTGTCGTTGGATAAGCCGAATGTCGATGAGGCGATGGCCATGGGCGAGAGGTTGGTCTTCCCGCGAGAGGGATTCATCGTGCATGAGGTGCAAGTGAGCGACCTCTCGGCCATGGTGGTTGGCACGACCGCGGCCGGAAGGCCCTTCGCCCTGGCAGTGAACGCTGTCATGGGGCGTTTGGAATTTTCCTTCCTCCAGGAGTATTACGAAAAGCACACCTCACTGATGTCGGACTTCGAGGGGTTCACCTTCCTGCAGGCCACCGACTTGGATGGAGACGGTCTGGTGGATGCGGTGACTGTGGCCTGGCTTTCGGACGCCGCCAACACCAATGCCCAGGCGGCATGTGCCACTCCACAGATGGCGGCTTTGGCACTCGGGCAGTGTGTCGCCGCCGCCGAGTGGCCCCACGGCGAGCAAGAGGCACCGGCCGAAGCGGCAATGTCCGCGGATCGCCGGCAGCGGGGGCTCTATTGGCTGAGCCGGCTCGGCGAGGCGGCCCTCGAGCCAAACCAGCCTGCCAACCGCTATGGGGGGCCGCGCGCGCGCACGCGCACGCCGCGGTCTGGTGGATGCGGTGACTGTGGCCTGGCTTTCGGACGCCGTCAACACCAATGCCCAGGCGGCATGTGCCACTCCACAGATGGCGGCTTTGGCACTCGGGCAGTGTGTCGCCGCCGCCGAGTGGCCCCACGGCGAGCAAGAGGCACCGGCCGAAGCGGCAATGTCCGCGGATCGCCGGCAGCGGGGGCTCTATTGGCTGAGCCGGCTCGGCGAGGCGGCCCTCGAGCCAAACCAGCCGGCCGATGTGAGCCTGCTGCTGGCCCTGCCGGCTGACATGGAGGTGGGCCAGCTGCTGGTGGGGGACTTTGACGGAGACGGCCGGGCTTCGGATGTGGCCGTGGTGTCGGGCCCCTTTACTAGCGGGCCACCGCGAGTCATCCTGCTGCTGACATCGGACCTGGCCTCCCCGATGACCATCTTCCTGAGCGACATGGCCGAAGGCGACCCGGCCTTTCTC